ATCAACACTCAAAATGTACTAAAAACATCCAATCAATATTATTTTAGCAGTCTAGGAATGAGGGATGTTTCAAAAGCAAAACAGCAGAAGAATATTATAAAAGCACTCAACACCAACTGTTTTTGTTTCCAGTCAGAAACAACTCACAGGCCACAATGTTGCACACATCGATATGTAACATGAACCAGGAAGTTATGCGAAATGTTTCCAAATGACAAAGAGAGGTTACCACAGTTGTTTAAGGATTCTGTTGATCAAACTACGACCACTTTTACAGCATTTAAAGAGTTAAATGTGCCACTCTGTTTTTTGGGATTTGTCAGATATACCGAGTCAGAGAGGAAGAAACCACACAGGGACGCTAAAGTGATTTTTCAAAATTTCAAACATTCATGGCTCAAAGAGTATTAAAAATATCCAACTGATAATTGCCTCCTTAGTTTATAGCAAACTATTGCAGGTTTCTGTGTAGTTTCAAGGCCATAGGTGGTTTAAAATGGCAGAAACTGGATGCTCAGGAGGTAAAATTTCACATATTTTGGAAAAAAGAATAAAAGATGATGTAGAATATATTGTATAAAACTGAATGTCAATTCCTATTAACAACACAACTGGTGGATTAAAATTGTAAAAACTAAAAATGTATTGTGTGTTTTTAAATAAATTCATGAAATTCTTTACCACATGTTACTTCTGAATCTGAAATGTGCTGCATCTTCAAGCCTGGATTTTAATTTTAATACATTCCAGTTGACACCTTTCACCCAAAAATGTGTCATTTTAAATGTACAAAGAGTATTTGTGCTAGAAAATATGGAAAGAAACTATTTATTTAAGGTGTAAGAACCTTTTTTCAAAATTCACGATATCTTGAATCAGCAGGGAGGCAGACAGTGGATGTACACACGAGTAAATACATTTACTTTACAACTTTATTACTTTATTACGATGATGCTACATAGTAAAAATGATTTAGCCTGACCACCCACAGCATTTCAATGCTGTTTACATGGTAGTGCATCAATTAAAATGATAAATATAATAAACACGACTGTAAAACTCTGAAAGAAGCCACCACTTTCTAATAGTATTTCTGTTCAGTTGAAATAAAGTTTTAAACATATAGCCGGGTCAAAACATGAACAAAAAGTGTGTAAAGTGCAACTCATGGGGTAGCCAGCACTATCTTTATTTGAACCACAAAGATTTCAAGTAAACAAGAAGTAAATGAGGATTGGGTCACTCTTTCTGGTTAAAAAAAAAAAAAAAAAAAAAAACCAAAGCATTCAAATGTTGCGGTCAGCTTTTCTCAGCACAAGCTGGTTTTTTCTTAGTCAAGAGGTTTTCAAAGTAAATGAGGAAGTTACGCCAGACGTTCTTCTCGTTTCAGTGAAAAGACACATTTCCTTTGTTTCACTACGCTGTTGTCCATAAAGTTGGAATAATTGTTGTTTACAGATGCATTCCTCTTTTTATTTCTATTTATACACATCAGTAATCACTTCTGACCAGGTGCAATGATTCCATACTGAGTCCCAGTTACCAGGTGAAACCAATTCTGACTTCTGGATCTGACTGAAGAGTGGGACGTCCTGCCCATTGACACCATCAACAAGCTTGTGGACAGTATGCTACGATGTCTTAAAGCATTGAACCGTGTCAGGGGTGGCCATACTTGTTCAATACCCCCATTGTTTAAGCCTGAACACGGTTTGCAAAATATAACTGTGGTTTAAGTTTTACTCTGATATGTATTGTATGTATAATGTGATATCAATAACGTTTTGAGAAGACGCTTTATCTTTCAAGAACAAATTGCATTGTCACAATCATTTCATTAGAAGAGGTAAAAAAAATAAAATTTTTTATTCCAGATTGATGGGCAGCAGTGTACTATACGTGTTCCTTGGAGCTGGTTAGTTTCAGTTTAAAGTACTGGAGTTGTGAGTTATACAACTCTGATACACAACTGTTTTGCATGTTGATGACGTATTTCAAAATCCTTATAATATCCGTGTTCAGATTCATGAATATGACATTTTACACATTAAGAGTGTATTTCACAAACTGTACTGGCCTTGCTGTAATCCTGGTTAATGTTGTATCAGGATGTAAACCTGTTGTTTATACTTTCTGGAGAATGATGCAATGACATCTGGAAATACGTAAATTATAAATAACAAAATGATAAATAACAAATAATGTGAGAAGTGCCTCATAGTAACAAACCCACAGAGACGTAACAAATAGCCTTATAGTTTGATATGTAGAATATTTGAAATAACAACTGTAGCATCTTCATGTCATGTTGTTTTACAAACTGTAATTACAGTGACAAGCTCTGTCAGTACAAACATCTCCAACACAAGCTTTTGGTCATGCTTGTTATTGGGTGTATGATCTTTTGTTGTTGGTTCACCTCTGTACATGACTCCAAATAGGGCACAAGGCAGTCACAGCTGGACACTGTGACTTGTAGACATAACAGAAAACTGCACCCCCTCCTGTGCCGAGGCAGCAAGTGAAGGTGTGGACCTTTTAATATTGTAGAGACAAACCCTTTGAGCAACACCTGGTGACAAGAGGAAAAATTACATTGAACAGGAAGGAATGGAACCAACAGAACCAGACCCAGAGATGACAGCTGTCTGCCTCAACGGGCTGAAGTGAGTTCCTCTATATATTCATGTATTTAATTCATAATTTTATTATTTGTGACTTTTACCATTGTGACACACTAAGTACATGTCCTTCTTGCTCTCTGGGACTTGTAGTGTTGCAGTAATTAACTTCTAGTTGTTACTATTGTCAGATAATCAGTAACCCCGTTTCTACCATCAAAAATGAACTGAAATGAAGTGATCATTTTAATTGTAGCTGCACAATTGTTTAAAAAGTTTAACAGCACAGAATCTCTATTCAAACTTTTTTTGATAAATATAATAACATTATATTATTTGATTTTTGTTTTTGTTTTTGTTTTTTGAGACTGTTAGTCTTTATGTAAAGTAAATTCTTGTCTCCCCTTTTTATAGCTTTATGAATAGGATAAACATTAGTCTTCAGTTGGCCTATATGCAATTTGAAACAAACACTACCAACATCAAGTGTATGATGTCAAATGTGTCCTCAGTCTGCTCTGTATGATTTTCTCAAAGCTTCTGTCCTCCCATAGGAACTCTTGTACCTCCACTGGGCTCTCTGCAGTTCTCCCTCCTCCGACTGCTGCAGGTAGAAGAAAACTGCTCAGTATATATGGCCTCCTCTGCCCACACACAAGCACAGCACTGAGCTGATCCAAAGCCTCATTAGCACTTCTTAGTGCTTTGCACAGATGTCAGTAAGCCTCCCCTAGTTTGTTCTAGATCTACAAATATGAATCTGTTTTGAGGATTCATCCAGGCAGGATCAGGAACCTGAGCTGATGTTAAAAGGGAGAAGGGTAACCTCATCAGCAAAAGAAGATCAGAGACACAGCCAGGTCCCCGGTTCGTGTCCCAGTGAGGACACCTGGGATCCTTCTGCTTGGAGTTTGCATGTTCACGCCATGCAGGTTCTCTCCGGATTCCAAGCTTAATTGGTGATTCTAAATGGGTGGGTGTGAATGTGAGTGTGTTTGGCTGTCTGTCTCTAAGTGTAGCCCTGTGATAGACTGGTGACCTGTCCAGGGTGTCCACTGCCTTCATCCCAAGTCAGCTGGGATAGGCTCCAGCAGCCCCTTGTACCCAGTGAGGATTGAGCGGTGTATAGACAATGGATAAATAGCCTCAAAAAATGTGTGTCAAGGTCAACAATGTTAGTGATAATGTGAAGTCAAAAAAGAAAAATTCGAGGTTAAAAAAAAACAGAACAGATACCCAGTAACTGATAAAGATGAAAAAGGCTCTGATCATTAAAATGTCTGACTTTTTATACCCTTTTTGAAACTGTGTGTCCCTTTACACTATTCTTTAGTATTAATTTAACTTTTAATTTAACGTTTCTGCCTGGCAACTGCTCTTCCTACCCTTGGTATCCCCAAACCTCCTCATCTTTTTCTACTCCTCTTTGACAACATGACAATTCTGCACATTACATTTATGCACCTGTACAAAAATCTGTGTTCTCAGTTTAGAAAGAGCTCATCGGGTTCTGCTGTGTGATTCCTGTTTTCCTAAGTGAAAGCAGAATTTTGAAATCTGGTAAAGCATTGTACAGATTCTTAACCCAACTGCAGAGGGCAGTAGTGTTTAATTAAGAGTTGAACAGCTCTAATGTTCAATGCTTCACTTTAAAGTTGTTAAATGTTGACTCTCTGAGTAAACTGACATCTGCAGTAAGTTATAATCACATGCATCTTTTCTATCTTTACATCAAGGATCACAGCAGAAGTCATTCTTGCAAATAATTTTGTCATCATTTACATTTTTGAAGCTGTGTGTGCTGATGGTCTACTCATGATGCCTGACATAACTGAACAAGATTACTTTCCTAAAAACAGGACACATGGTAATGTTGGTCATGTGTTCAAGAGACCATTTCTCCCTTGTTTGATATAGTTCAAAATGTGATTAAGTAAAGAAATCATGGTGTACAAGGTGTGTCAGAAAAGTTCCAAGACTGGTGTCACAAAAGATAGATTTCAAACCCATACTACAAACTCCGAGTTTTCCCCTTCAGACGGTCAACCAGCACGTCTACATCCTGCAGTGTTTGCTTCATTCAGTGCGTGAGAAGAGGTGAGAGTTGTGGCAAGACAAGTTGTGGCTGCTTCACCATGACAACCCACCTGCTCACAATGCCCTGAGCATCTGACAGTCCCTGGCTGAGAAGAATATCGCCCTGCTGGAGCAACTTCCCTAAGTTCTGTAAAAATATTGCAATTTTATTTTACATTTTTATGCTTTCAGACTGAGGATTTTTTGTATTCTCATCCTCAAAAATGTTTTCCATTGAAAACTATTTTAAGGGCTCAATGTCATTAGAAATGTTATCCCTTCTAGCCATGAAATTTCATTTAACTGGCCCTTGAAAATGTAAGAGAGAGCGCCCCTTAGAGTACCATTAAGGTAGAAAGGTGCAATTTAAGTGCTGACTGTAATGTTTGATTTGATATGTGCTGGGAAACAGCCTCTTCTGTCAACTTAGTAGCTTGTTAAGTTAGAGTATTCAAGTTAGTACACTCCTGTGCAATATCAAATGTCAAATGATTTAAGATTGTGTTATCTCTGAGTGGTTGCATTATCTCCAATTTGAACAGCATTCGCTCTCATGTAAAATTAAAAATTAACAGTTTATATTTAATATATGAAAAATACAGCCCCAACACAAATACTTTTGTTAAGTCCAAAGATTACATGTGTATTGGCTACAACAGGGAATACACAAAAAATACAAAAATGTTCATGTCAGTGTAGCTACTGTACTGTATATCAAGCATGATATTCAATCTTGATGCAGAATAACTTCTTGTGACAACAACACTCATGAAAACAACTGTGCCACTGCTCTGATCAACAATGTTGATCAAAGCAGTGGCACTAAACAGTAAAGCTGTGACATGGACAACCAGCAATGAGCTGAAAGATGACAAAATATTTTGCGGTGCTGACAACAGCAGAGCTGAAGCAGCATGACAGGGGAAACTGTAGCATCTTTTCTTAATAAAGCTGTGATCAGATGAGTCACCATAAAAAAATACCAATGTACGGTTTATTTGTCTATTTAGTTTAACTGTTTTTTATTTCAACTGAGCCGACGAAAATCCTAAAATAAAAACAAAAGAATTAACCAGAAATAAAATACAATTCATGATTACAATGATTTTCCACAGTACAAACTGCACCCTTATTATACTGTTTGGATGTGTGTGTGTGTGTATGTGTGTGTGTGTGTGTGTGTGTGTGTGTGTGTGTGTGTGTGTGTTTGTTTATTTTTTGACGTGTTTAGCACCAAGTATCTCACTTTGTGGAATACTAGAATACTCCACATACTACAGTTGATAAAAATTATCTATGGATGTCACATTTGCTGTCAGCAACTTGCAGAAAAACAACTGGGGTGCTTCACTCCATTCAGATCCTCATTTTGTAAAACGTTAAATGACCTGTTGTGATGGAAAACAGTAATTATTTAACTAAGGTGTGAGCAAACTGTCAAACTGTAATACTTTAGTAGGCATATTTTTCTCCATTGATTGAGAATAAGACAGAAGGCGATATAGGCAGGGGGCATCTCATCCATTCATCAGACAGGTACGGCAGCAGAACTGACGATAAAACTTCCTTTCACAGAGACGGTTGGACTTCACCATCTCACAGAACACCTCATCAGCTGACAGATAGAACAGAGCAGAAGACAAAAGGTTTAATGATAATCAGACTTCAATGTGCTTCACTGAGTGACTGACTGAATCGTATCCTTTATTTAACCAGGAAAAAAAACAACTGAGAACAAGACTCTCATTCATAATGGTGCCCTGAGAGCAGCTAGGGAAGAGTATAGAAAAATGCTTAAACACTTCACACAACTCAAAGTAGCACTGCCTGTGCGTGTCTGTATGTTACTGTGATGGCTCAGTTTTGACTTGTGCCATGTTGAAAGGGACATGGAAACATTACAAGGTCCAATCTAGTAAGTTTTCCAGTGCAGATGAGCGGCCATAGTGCGTAGTCAGACATGCAGCCGGCCTGTTCAGTTGCCATCAGATTAACAAAACAGAGTGCATGTCTGAAAGGGTTATGAAAGACTGTTTGATTTTCCAGTCAAAATACAGGGAAATGAACATTTTGCATTTAGTTGTGGAGAAGATACAAGCCTCATGGAGAGCACAGCAGCTCTTATCTAAGAACTGAGATCCTACAGCCGTGCCAGGAGAAGTTCATTGCATCACACAAGAACATTTGTGAATGAGGCTGATGTGAATTCTAACTCTAAACTTACCATTATTACAGGATGCATTCACTATACAAGTCCTGCTGATTAGACTGTACCCTGCTTTGCATTTGGTACATGTTGTTCCAGGACCACTGCAGCTCAGACAGTTTTCCTCACATCTGAAGACACAGAGTGACATGAAACCTTTAGAACTGAACTGAAATGATCGCTTAGCACACATACTTGATTCATTTTCTGTTACACAATGCGAAAAAACTTGGCTTAAGCAGCTAAATTATCATTAATTTTACTTTGAAATAAAGTTAGAACTGAAGCTGCTGTATTCTACTAACATTGCATCAGACATCAGATAATGTCTGTTTTGAATTTTTAATGTAACCAAGATAGGACATATAAGATGCAGATTTGAAAGTGGAAGTTAAAGTACAAGTTTTCTGGTTATAGTATTGTTTAAAGAAAACATTTTAAAAATAAATTAGCAACCTGTGGCACATCTTATGAGGGAGCCCAGCTGCCTCTCCAGAGAAATATCCAGGAGTACAGTCCTGCACACACCTCCACTCCTGCTGCAGGTAGCCCTCAGCACACTGGATGCACTCCTCCTTACCTGGCCCTGGAAAACACAAATGAGATCAAAACGAGATGTTATGTCTGTAACTTCTGTTCCCTGAAGGACAGGAATAAGGTACAACACACAGAGTATTGACATCACATGCTTGGATGACCTGACTGAAAACAGCTCTATTTGCGCCTTTAAGGCAGATGATCTGGGATGACATATGTAAGGCCCCGCCTGCAAATAAAAGCACTTGTCATCACAGCCATCCCTCAGCACAGCAACCAGGTATTGTACTCCGTTCCTCTCCTTCAGGGAACAGAAGTTATAGACATAACATTTCTTTCCTTTTCAGTTAGTTTGCTCAGTACAACACATTATGATGAGCCACGTATACAAGCCCCTCAGAGCAGCCACCAAACTGGAGTCTAACCTGTAGCACTCTAGTGCATGGTACACTGCAGCAGACAGGAGAGAATGAGCCACCAAATTTACCTCTGGCTGTTAAACTGGACCTTTCAACAGGTAGGCATGCACCCGCCACAGTTCTGGGTGTGGGGAAATCACCTGTCCTTTAGACAGGAGATCCCTGCAGACAGGGAACTGTCAGGACCACATTGCCAACAGACTGATTATATCTGCACACCATGATTTCACTGTCCACCTTGGGGCCACTAGGATCATGGTCAGACCAGAGGGAGTGGGTGTTTGATCTGGAGGCAAAGAGATCCTCTTCTGCCCTGATGAACAATATGTGAGCTACCACCAGTGGATGTGATCTCTGTTCTCACACCAGGGTTCCCCTCTGGAGAGAAGGTCTGCACCTTGGTTTTGGTCACTAGGTACATGGGTGGCTTTGGAAATAAACACTGCACCACTGCTGACTGTTTTAGCAGAATAAGGTAACCAGTTCCTTCCAGCTTGTTTAGGGGGAAACAAAACAAAACAAAACAAACAAACAAACAAACAAAAACACAGCTGTATTGTCTGCTCTGATCAGAACATGCTGGTATTTCAGAACCTGGCAAAAATGCTGCAGACCTAAGATAACCACTAGCAGCTCCAGGTCGTTGATGTGAAGTCTGCACTGAGCTGACACATCATGCATATGAGCCATGTCCACAGGGGCAATTTTACATGCACAGTAACGTGCTGCGTCTGAACATTGCCTTGATAGGCGTACACAAGCAGGCTACGAGGTGGTCACATGACAGCCACTGTACCTTCAAGGGTGTCGAATCAACATGGCGACTCGGTCGCAAATTTCCAGTTTTATTACGAAAGCCATTCAGCGAAAAGTATTTCTAATAAACATTTGAGACGAGAACCAAGCTATGCAGCTGCAGAGTCTGTCCTCATTTTAGTTGAACAACAGCTAATTTAGCTGTTTTATGAAAGATTAGCAAGTTGTCGGACCTCCATGCTCTGTGCCAAATTTGCACACAGTTGAAGTCAAGTCTACTTTATGCAAATGAGCTTGTGGGCAATGTTACTCTTCATTGCTCGAAACTCCCTGTGACGCTCCAGGACACGACACAGCGTGTTTCACAAACACAATGAATGGGAAGTGAGAAATTAACGAATCCTGTGGACACGCAACATTATCGCTCCCTTGTTTAGCAGACTCTTTTCCCCTTCAGTACTGCAGAGACACCATTGCTGGCTTGGAGGGAAGAAACAATCCTGCAAACCCTGATGGTTTTTGAGTCAGCAGAGGGAAGGGCCAGTCCACCTCCAGTTTCTCTGCTGCTCTGTGGAATGCAGCCACGGGAGCATTCTGACCAGATGATAAACCCTAGTCCCCCATGAATGTCCAAGCTAATGTCCAGCACTTCATCATCTCTTCTATTTTTCATATCTCTTCTATTTTTCTTTTTTTTTGCTCTTGTACTTTATTATGTATGGCACTGAAGGAGCTGCTCTTAATCTCATTGTACTTGTGTATAGTGACAATAAAGGCATTCTATTCTATTCTATTCTATTCTATCATCATCATGGTGGTCTATACCTACAGTGGGGCAAAAAAGTATTTAGTCAGCCACTGATTGAGCAAGTTCTCCTACTTAGAAAGATGAGAGAGGTCTGTAATTTTCATCATAGGTACACTTCAACTATGAGAGACAAAATGAGAAAAAAAAATCCAGGAAACCATATTGTGGGATTTTTAAAGAATTTGTTTGTAAATTATGGTGGAAAATAAGTATTTGGTCAATAACAAAAGTTCAACTCAATACTTTGTAACATA